TTCACCACGTTTAAATCAAACATTTTTTTAAAATCTCACAAATCCATCTTGCCTACTTTGGTTTGGTGTTTATTTAAGCTTCATTTTTACAGAAATCCATGTTTTTCTCTCACAGTTACTCTTTCTCTCATCTTAACCAGGCTTTTTCAAACACAGTTGTCACAGTCTGGTTATTAATTCCCCGAGTATCCCAGAGGTACAGGAGCTTGTCCGGCTGATCCGTGCCATTGCGCCAGGACTGATTCTCCTTGACCTTTGTCTCCAGCTCTCTCTCTCCTCTCTAGCAACAGCCCAAATTACCCTTACTCCAGAAACGGCAGTCAAACTTCTTCATCTGGGGCTGTTTGTCTGAATGCAACAAAGCAACTTGTCTCTGCACAAACTTACGGCTGCCTCTGCTCGGCAGCATGACTCCTCTCCATTGGGCACCAGTAAACCAGAGCAAAGCATCACGGAGCCGGACCATCTGCCCCACCTCGTCCATATGCCTTCCTCCGGCTTTTACACCCTGCTCCCTGTGTGTTTCCTACACCCGATGGAGGCGTAAGGCCAATTCCTGACATCCCTAGCTTTGGGTCTCCAATCCTCACATCTTCCTTTTCATGCTACGTGACTAACAGAGGAACACATATAATTCTGGGGGACGTAGGGTAAAAGTTTATCATGGTAACTGAATGTTATTCCAACAGATGTCCATACAATGCCATCTGTCACACCTGTGGGTTTGGCTATTATTTCTTACTAATTTTATTCTTGTATTTGCCTTCAGGGGACAAATTCTCTCTGGTACCTGACTGAAGGTTCAGTAAACTCCCGGAGGGAAGCCCAAATGCACTTCAAAAGCATTTTTAATGTGTGTCTTTCATCCTGGTGAAACCAGCTGTCCATGCACATCAACTCCCTGCAGCAATTTTTCCCTTCACGGAATAGAAATAATCAGCCTCATGGTTGGGTGTGGAAATTTTGCTAAATTAAGACAAGGGATCTGCATAAACGGACTGATTTTAGTGCTCTGACCTTCCAGCTTCTCCCTTCCCTCTTCTGAAGTCATGAAGGCTTGAGAGTTGAGTCCTGCCGGGCATTTCAGAGGGTTTAGGAGGGAAATGGGTGACTTTCAGCTAGAGAGCCTGCCAGGGATTTGGTTTTGTACACACACACGTTGTTGAGCAGCTTGGCCAAGTGCATATGTGTTATATTCAGAAGGCAAGGGGAAGATCTCTTTCTTCTGCTAGACCTCCAAATCCAGGTTACTCTTGTGTTTACCATAAATGTGCTTAATTTTTTCATTATTTGTATTTTGTACAGAAGGCCCTAGCTCAATTAAAAAAGCAGATGCTTGGTTGTATAGATAGTGCAGAGTTACTTCAGCAGTCACACTGGAAAAGCATTAGTTATCTAAGGAGACAAATTGAACAAGACAAATCTAGGGCCAACCTGTTTCTCCTCAAGCAGTTTGTAAACACATACTGAGAAGCAGAGAATTAGGAAAGGAGAGTTGAATTTGCTCTCGCTGTGACCCAAATTCCAGCGTTGAGCTGGTTAAGGGCAAGCAAACTTGGCGGCTCGCTTCATTTTAATCTACTGTTTTTAAGCAAGACGTCATTCAAACCTGGTAGTTTGATAGGTGATGTTGCTCAGATCCTGCCTTTTGTTAAGGACAGTTTTGTTTCTTTCTAAACCTACTGTAGCTTCAGCTGAAGACCTGCTCCGGGAATGGGGAGCTCCCAAGCAGCCTGGAGCTCCTTAACATTTCCCCCATCACCCCAGCTGCCGGGGCCAGGTAGCAGCTGCTGCTCCCATACAGTTCCTAACAGTTTACTGGGGACATGAGCAGCCACGTACGTTTGGACCAAGCATCTTCAGCACCAGCTTCAGGTTTTTCTGTTCCCACAGAATTTATCTAAGCTTTGATGAATTAACTTCAGGGTAGGTGTGACCCTGCTCTGAGAGAAGGCAAGGGCGAAAGTCCCACTGGGTCAAAAGTGGGAAGCAAGGTTCAGTCGCTCTGATTGATCTCTTCCAGAAAATATAGGTTGAGCTCTCCTGAGTTTGGTGAACAGCACCTCTCTGGGGGATATGAAGGCATTCGGCTTTCACTGGTTCTCTCCACACCATTTGGTATTTCTCTAAGCAGCGCCCTGAAGGCAGTTCTGGGGTTTGTGAGCTGCTCTCGCTTGTAAACAGCTAAACATATTTGCCCAAACACCCCCCTTGCAAAGAGAGAGCCAGCAGATTTTGTCTTCCGTGTACAGCAAGTAGATATGGTAAAGCGCAAATAGCAGCAGTTCACAGTGATCAGTACATACAGCGAAGCCTATTCAGCTGCAACGTCTGTTTGGACTGTGCTCGTACTTCTCCTTGTGCAGGATCTGTAATGCATACTGTGTCAGTACAGGGTGCTTGATTCTGGCTATATGGACCGAATTTTATGTGTTGCTACAGCAGCACAACCTTCTGTGGGCTATTGCAACTCTGCCTTACAGACAGTAAGACAAGAGCCAGCTCCTGTCCTTGTTCTCTGTAATAAAATGCTTTTTTCTGCTGTGCAGGACCCCATGTACCCACTGGGTCCATCAAGTGGGAGTAAATTCAGCATTGTGCTCTTAAGACAAGTACTGTTGGAAATCCCAGCTTAGGTTAAAAAGAAGTGCACGGTATTTGTGGAGAATGATGGCAGTTAATACAATAAGCCTAACCATTTCTAAACTTTTCCCTCCATTAAGCAAAAATAATCAGTATCATTATCTTTTATATTTTGTGAATGGAAATAATAATATATGCATTCTGAACGTTAGCAGATTCAAATTTGCTTTCAGCAAGAAATGTGAACGTTTTAGCGTTAAGGACTATATATATTATGTTTTACTAGCTGTTGAGTACACGGAGTTCCAGATAGTTAATTCTGGCAATGAGAAATATCTGTGAGTCTTGTGATGTGAGAAAAGCAATGAATGAAGCACTTCAGAGGATGAGAGGGTAATGTTATCTATAACTTCCATCAATCATGACAAAAGAGAGCCAAACAAAGCTACTCACTGGGATGGGTGAGGGTACTGACCCAAGGTCTGTGTCTTTACTCACAGTAATCTTGATTTCAGCTTCTTAAAAGTATTTTACTATGGCTCAGGAAGTCCTTAAGCCATGGATTGCTGGAGGTTGAGAGAAAATACCAGGGAAGTATCACCATAGACTTACTTTGATCTTCACATTTTTGCTAAATAAGAGGCCTGAGCTGGTACAGCTCTTCTTACTTTTTCAAGTTAAGGGCCAAATTAAAAAAGGAACCGAAAGAGATTAAAGCAGAATTTAAGCACATAAATCCAGCACTGAAATAAAAAGGTTCTCTCGGCTCCTGTCCAATCCTAGAGGCACCTAACTCAGGAGGTACCTACTTTTGATCTCCAAGAACCTCAAATGCAGAACAGTCACCGTGTGCACGTGCCCAGAACCCCCACCACCTCGGTGGCTCTGAGTCCTGCTGGGTCCTGCCAGGGTGACGGATTTGGCCAGGGGATGGCCCAGGTCTTGTTGGCTGTGGAGAAAACCACATGCTTCAGTTCGTGAGCTAAGTTTGTGCTGAGGATGTGTAGCTGAGAAGGGGGAAAAAAAAGCAAACCTTCTGATGGAAAAGAAAACGAGGGAGTGCAGAAGTGTCTTTAGCTCAGCAGTTCGGATGGACCTTCAGGAAGGGGAATTGTGTGTGCCAGAGCCACCGGCTCCCTTTCACATTGCATTTGTGCCTCACCTTCCTGGCTGGAATTCAGAAACAGCTCTTGGAGGAAAGACTGAAACTCCAGATCAGGTAGGTGCTCTCACCACTAAACTAGCAATTATATTCACCTTTGGTCTTCCTCTCCTTCTAGCTCAATGAATCTTTAATTCTTTTTATGCAAAAAGGAACAGATTCAACATAAGGGCATGCGGTGCTCTCTTCCCTGCTCTCCCCGTCTCGCCTGGGTAGCTTGCACCCTGGAAGGTAACTGATGGAAAGTCATGCGCTCCTGGAATTTTGGAGCTTCAATGAGAAGTGCCTGGGTTCTTGGCTGTCTAAATTTGGGAATTGTGCCTGACCTGTCAAACGCTTCCCTGAGCAGTCAGGTTCCCGAGTCCTTACACCGCCTCTGAAAACGGCGTTTCGAGGTAGATCCACGCAAGCTTTTAGGCGCTTAATTATTGCTTTGGCTAACAACAGCAACCACCGAGGCTCCTGCTCAGCCATCATCCAACGCCAAGGTCCAGACACCCTTTGTGTTTCACCAGAGATGCTCTGTGGGTGCCTTCATCTCTCTCTTTGGGCACACCCGGAGGCGCTTGAGTCTTGCCAGCCCCGAGAGACCTGCAACAGAGCACCAGCCTGACACGCTTTTGAAAGATGCGAAGTGCCTAACTCTAAGCAGCGCTTTGGTACTTGTCACCTCAAATGAAGCAAGGTACCTGGCAATTTGCTGCTCCTTGTACTGCTGTGGTGCATCCCGTTGCATACAGAAAGCAGGCACCTAACAGCGTAGCAGCCGCCTGTATCAGAATTGTAAGCTGAGTGTTGCCACGTACCTTTTTGCGACTATATTCCTAAATACTTGGTAGTGTAGGATCAGTGGGTGGTACCAGCTGCCTCATCGATCACGGTGCTACTTCTTGGGGCACAAGATGCATTACATCGGTCAGCTCCACGTCTCCAGGAACGTAGATCCTACTGGAGTTATACATTAAAGTCGCGCTGTGTTTACCTTAAAGCAATCTGACGGAGGGATTAACTAGGTGATCAGTCCATCTCACCGCATCACAGAGGAGCAATTAAACTATTCCCAAACAAAATCGCTAGAATTTGACACCTAACCCAACTGCTGATATTTCTGGAATCTTCTCTGCCTGCTCGTTCAAGTGCTCAACTGTCTTTATTAAGAACTGTGCCAATTTTGTCCGGCTGAAAGTTAGAATATGTTTCTTCTTCTTTGTCTGTCCTTGTTGATCAGTGGGAATAACAGACCCCGCCACAGAAAATGACTCTGGCTTTGCAGGAGCGGCTGGTGAGCCCCCCATTTGGAATACAGTTCCCAGCAATGGTCACCTCGTTATAAAAGAGAGTTAATGCAAATAGGGAAGTTGGAAAAGAGCCCAAATGATACAAGAACTTGATTATTCAGAAAAGGGTTAGAAAAGCTACAGTGTGGCTGCTGCCTTTGCGAAACAGGCGATTAAAAGCCACGTTAGGGGGGGGTCCGAAGAGCTCGGGGGGAATAGCAAGGATTCACATACACGGGGAGAGCCCAGCTAGTGACAAATACCAGAACAAAAGGGAAATTAACAGAAGGTTAAGCAGGGATGATCGGCAAAGTGGTGTAATCTATTTGTGAATTTATTTGTATTTAGCGCAGTTAATATATGGAAAATTATACTAGGGCTGTAGCAGAAACAACTATTAGAAATCATTTTACAAGGCTTTAGACAAGTGTGGGGGCTTATAATAACACTGTGGGATGCAACTGGTAATTCAGAGGAGAGGAGAGGACTTACATCTTTGTCACAATCTCATCTCTTAAAACATTTAGATGCATTGTGCTAAGTAATAGACATGGTTACTCTAAAACGACTATCTACGGTTCTCAGAGAAAGGTTTTCATTTACGAGACTAATTTCACTTCCAGCTTCAAATACATAGATGTGGAAAAAAAAAATCAGAGAGCCTCGGAGGGGCAGGGATGAATCCTGATCTCAGCAGCAGCAGAACAAAGCCCGAATAACTCCAGGAAAAAATGCTGGACGCACACAGGGATGTGACCGAGACGAGATCTGGTCCTGAACTGCGTGTGTTCCAGATGGGAAAGCCTTGATGTCCTCTCCTTCAATTTCAAGGAAAGCTAACAAAAGAGTCCCAAGTCCTTTTAGGGCGTTTCTGCAGTTCTTGGAAGAAGCCTGTATGTCACCATTTGCATATGATGCCTCCAGGCCATCAGCTTCAACGAGCGTGGGATCAGGCTGAGCGGCTCGTTTCCTTCGACCTGCAGCTTCGCCTGTTCGTTAAGACAAACCAGGCTGCCTTCGGCGCTGGTGAACCCGCTGGAAATTCCCCCTTCCTCTGCACCAGGGGAGCGGGGGGGGCACCGAGGTGTTGCCCTTAGGAAATCTGTGTGATCACCGTACCACGCTCTTTCCAGGACGGGTGCTTAACCCACGGCTATGAGATGCGTGGGTAAGATCCCCACTTACTCTCCGGAGGGGAGATCCCTGTAGGCAGTTACCGACGCAAGAGCTCCCGCTACACTAGCACCGTTTACTCAGCAAATCGAAGGCAATTAATCACAATTTCTCCACTGGGGAAAAAAACCCAAACCCCACTTGATTTGGACCCAGCATTACGCGGGGAAACCGACAAAACGCTGTGCCGTACCCCACCCTAAACTCTGCTAAAGGCATTTTCTTCCCGGGGCTCCCCTTCCACCTGGCAAGCCCCGCCTGCCTTCGGGAAACGGGGACGGGTGGAACGAACTTTAATGACACTTGGATGTGTCGAGGAGCAAGATCCACCCGCGGGGTCGTCCCGCCGGTCTTTGGGCCGCCGCGGCCGGACGGGGGGAGGCCGAGGGAGGAAGCCACGGGGAACACG